CCCCAAAACCCCAAAACCCCCAAAACCCCAAAACCCCATTCTTTATTATACTGATTGATAAAAGTCAATTTATTATTAAATTAATAAACATTAAGATTATTATTAGTTGATTTAAGTTACATTCAGTTATTCCTAGCAAAAGCAATTAAGCTTTGACATAGGATTATATATGTGCAATTAGAAATCTTTTATCTACCAGATTGCTATAGTATGTCAGTTTCACTACATATCTTAGTTATTCCCAGTGAACTAATGTGTGCTTGGAGCACTTATTTGTTCTAATCTTTGTTACTGATTCAGGCTATCAAGTTAGATTACTTGTGGTTTAAAGTATCTAGGTTGTTAGCTTTAATTTTGGTCTAAGTTACTCATGATCACATATTGAGGCTTAGGCTTGATAATCTTAACAATAGTTTAGACAGATGGCTACTGCATCCCATTGCCTTAATGACAGCTGTTCATGTTGAAAGGTTGTAGATTAAAGATGCTCTTTTAAGGTTATTAAGGGTGATTAGCCTATTAACTTGGTTCTTATATCTGACTTTATTATTGCTAAATTACTCTTTCCTATATTCTCTTTGAGTAACTCTAAAAGTCAAAAGTTTAAGGAATTCCTTATTAAGTATTTACTGAACCATAAGAATTGAAGAGATTTTATCTGAAATTATTAAGTTATTACATTTATTATCTTTGGATTAATAACTATAGTAAAAAGTTTCTCATTTATAAAGTTGTTAATGGTGCTCTTGATGGTTAAGTTTATGTGTTGAAAGGTTATTTTGCTTGATTAAAAGTAGCATTATTTTGAGGATTTTAGGTACTTTAGACAGACAAAATGTTATCATTTGAAGACTTAAGTGGGTTTTCAGCCTAGGAATTTATTTCATAGGATTCATTTTAAATTTTGCTTAGCTCATTAATTGACATCTAGCTTGTAGAGTTCTAGGTGTTGATGATAAGACTTTCTTAAAGATTTGGAATGACTTGGAGAGTCTTTTTCTGGTATCTTAATCTGTAGTTTATCTTGTGGATCCTTTTTTCTCTAAGGTAAGTTCTATTGATAGCCTTGGCATTGTCATAAGGTATGTTAGTTATCTTAGAGGCCTTGGCGATCGAGAATCCATCTTCGTGGATCAATCTCACCAATTCTCTTCTTTAAACATCAGTTACCTACACGTACTACCTAACCATTCTTGAGCAATTATTAATTACATAATTGGGAGAGTCTGGTTAAATAGGAAATTATAATTTACTTAGGTATTTGAACAAACTGATTTACTCATTTACCTATCTTACACACTCTTAAATTACTTAATAACTTTGTAAAGTTAAAGATTAAAGCATTTTAAATGCATATCACCTATTTTATCAATTTAATGCTGTTTCGGGGTTTTGGGGTTTTGGGGTTTTGGGG